CGCCGTGAGTTACGGATCGTTCAAGTGGTGCTGCGTTTGGTGTCGTCTGATCGCACGGTGCATCGGGATAAACGCATACGATCGCATATCTACATACGTGTGCCGATTCGTCGTTGCCTACCTCTCTCGCGTACACGCACGCGCCTTCTCTCTCTCTCTCTCTCGCTCGCTCGTTCTCTTTACCTCTCTTGCCGCCTCTCTCTTACCTCCCACTCGAATACCTCCCTCGTCCCTTTTTCGATCGCCGATTTTCGGATCCGTCGAGGTGCGTGCGGGCACGCCGCGTTCGATCTCGTGAATGTGCGCGATCAGGAAGCCGGTCGTCCGCAAGGAAACATGCGTGAGCAGAGCTGGAGGACAACGACTGCGACAACGACGAGGAACACGCTGCACGTGACTGCGGCACCCTCGCACGTTCTGCTGCAGTGAGTGGAGAGAAAGGGAGGAAAAAGAGAGTGATAGAAACACGTCCTTTCTCCTTCCGCTGTTACGACGGAGCCTGTGTTTAACGGGGAGTAAAAAAGAGTGCCGGTGGTTGGTGCGGTATTCGTGAGTTACCGAGGATCTTTCTCCTTTTTTTCTCGTGATCTACAGAGGAGACTACGAATCCTGGCACGTTTTCGGTGTCGTTCGAACCACCCGAGAGAAGATGAGGCGTACCATCTTGGAAACGAGGATGCACCCCGTGTTATCCTGTTGGTGCGTTGTCGCCACTGTCACCCTCGTCCTCGCAGCATGGCAGGAAAACATCAGGCCGAAGATGTACGTCCAACTCGGTGAGTGTATTTTTTATTTTTCTTTACCTATTATGCATATTATTTAAACGTTATTTTATTATTACGTTTCCGTGTGGTGTTTCTTGTCCGCGATGCGTCATCGGCCGTTCGACAAAAAACCTCGGCTTCGTTGTTTACATTGTCGCGAGTGTTTCATATCGAATTCCAAGAATCCAAGAAGATAGATACTCAATGACTAATGTTATCGCGCACGAAACGACACACGAAAACAAAAAGTTTGTTTTCGAGCTGATATTCGTAGTAGTTTATCTCACATCGCGTCGTCGTCAATAAATTCGACGAAAATCACAAGAAAATCGCGTAATCCAATTTAAAAGCTTCGTATCGCGAGTTTATATTTAGAAATCTTTATTCTCGGATGATCGATCGGATAACGAGAATCGCTATATATCCTCGAGTAACAAAAAAAGAACAGCATTCGTCCGGTTACGCTCGAACGCGAATTAAAATACTCGCAAAAGCTGTTCTCTCTCGGTTATTTTACGGTCGAGAAGATAATTTTATATTCTCGTTTGCTCGTCGGGTAGTGCACGTCGAGTAGCCGAACAACGATGCGGAACGGAAGTTACACCGGGTGCAGGGTCATGGACCTTCCCCCACTCGGTATTGTTTCACCCCCTAGCGAGGGGAGCTATATGTGCAACCCGGTGACTGTAAACCCTAATCAGTGACATAACCATACTCCCTAGGATATGGATACTAGGAAAGAATATAAATATATCGACCACCGGTGTCCCG